TTTAAACTTACTGAAGTCGAAGGTAACGCAGTTATGAGACCTTATTGATGCGCTTGTTTATCAACACTAATCTTACCTTAAATGACTGACGCATTGACGTGTGTATGAGCGCTATGCATTTGCTTATGTGGCTTTTTGTAACCTTCGTATCATAGGGGATGAAGCTACAGCTAATCAGGTGTCTTCGACACACTTCGACGGATTCGCAAGTACGTAAGACGGACCATGCGATAGGCAAGAGGAAGCACGCACACGACATGCGTCGTTGCTGCGGCAAGAGCAGCAAACATCTAGCATAGTCCGAATTGAAGGAGACAAGTACAATTCTATATTACGGCAGGATGTGATGACTTTATTAACGGCGCCGCCGACTGATTTGCACCATACGATTCATCGAACATGACCGTGTACAGGGTTATGGATCCAAAGCGCAAATTGATTGATGTACACGAAGTCATTAATCTCCTATATTTAAGAGTTTTATTTTAATTGATTTTTTACGAAATTATATGAGCCGCAGCTTATATTTAGTAACGTGGAAATACGTAAGATGTGGGTTTCGGTTGGAATGGTGTCGGGTACTGCGGTCGCATGCATTGGCAGCACCATCAATGGAATAAGCAAACCATCCAGGTATAAATTCTTCGTAGCGATATTTTCGTTGAAACAAAAAGCGCTTATTTAGCAGCGCCCTGAATCATGCCTAATTTCTTTACCGTTTCGACGGACATCTAATACAATGATAGTTGCGAGCCCGAAGGGCGAAGCTATCAGCGACTGTGTGCAAGGTTAAATGTCAATTTTTCAGTCGAACCGATTCGTCTTTCGGTGTAAATGTTTTTTTTAACAAACGCGATTAGGTGTAACTGACTCGATCTAAACACGATGTAGCCTGTCCCTTTGTATTGGTCAATAAGCTTGATAGTTTTTCAACCTATGGCTAGGTCAATATTGAGACGCACGCACCTGATTGGCTAAAAAATAATTAAAGGCGAATTTGATTACAAAGGCAAATGCTGGACGCTCATAAGCAACGACCGATCGCGTTGCACTAGCTACTACATTGGATAAATATTCCTCTAGAGCACCATACATCTACTTTAGTGACTGCTGCAGTTGTATAGTGTTTTGCAACTTGTATCAGTTCTCCAAACTGGATTACAAATTTCGAAGGGCGAGCTCCAGAGCACGCTCCCTTATTGTCATGCTACGTCAATATTACTCTTATCAACTGAAGCTTCATATAAATTAGTCTCATGACCATAAATAGCGTACTTCACATTAATTCCGTGCTGAAATGGTGATGGTATTGCAACTGATGCCGGTATTGCGACTTTTGCCGGTCTTTAGTGCTGATATTACGACTTACTATTATTTAAGGAGTCAACCTGGGGCCGTTAGTCCGATTCAGACCACAACTAATGACCCGGACAAACCAAACCAGGGCGACCGAATGGGTCGCCCTAGTCCATTTATAGGTGAGTATTACGCTATTTATCATCAAAACTCAGCTGCAAATTTGTAAATAAGTTAAAATTTGTGACAAATAAAGTGAACAAATTACGCAATTCTTTGTCTACGTCATAGAGGTCAGTAAATGATCTAAGTGATCGATCACCTCTAGCGCAGCAGTATCTAATTGCAGGCGTATAGTGCGACCAGAATATGCGATCGAATAGCGCACAAGCGTGCAGCGTGACGGACTAGATGACTCACGAATGGCGTTTGCCGGAGAATTTATTGAATCGGATCACATTAAAAGCGTCACAGAAAATGATGCCTTTGAAATGCACTCGAAACTGCACGTAAATTGGCGCAGCAGTTCGTTGCCTTCTAGTGCATTTGTAAAGTTAAATCGATATATTTAAGTACTTTTTGAATCACCGTTTCGACAAGTTGTTTAAGGAGTGGTTACACCATCGGTGCCGGTTACAAAGCACACTCAAAAACGTATTAATCACACATTTGATGTTGAATTCGTTGTGGCAATTCTGATTTCTACCCCTAAACCACCACGAAAATTCAGCCCAGCATAATGACGGTCACCACCACACTTTGTGCTGGGGCCCGCCGTCAGCGACTGTAGCGGGGTAGCCCGTTACATGCTATTGACACTTAAAGGTGTCTGTAGGAGATTGTCGAGCGTGACAATCTCCCGGCAATATTACCCGAGATAGGTAATATTAAATAAATTTTGTCCATTTGGAATAATATACATGCGCTGCTCAAAGATTGGTTGACAAAAGACAAATCAACCAAGATTATCACCTATTGTTGCTTGACGCGCGTAATGGGTGGCGAGCAGGTTGTCATCATACGAAAATGTAGATTAATATGATAAAGAAAAAACTGAAGTTGTATTGATATCTTAACTATAGTCAATGGAGTTCTCTTTTTACCCTTCACCCAAACGAGTGAGATGAGTAGATCAGCGTCCTCTGCACCTACAAGTGTACGTTAAGTTTTGTGGCACTTCAAACAAAGGGTGCATCGTTGCAATGATGGGGATCGTCTTAAGTGTTTGGCTAACAGTATGCAGTCACGGCTCAATTGATTACTTTTTACTACCTCGCTTAGTTGTGAGCTAATGCTGTCAATTGCTGCTTATCAGCAATTGACTATTTACATTCGTGGTACCCACAACTTGTGCGAAGGTACCGAGCGCAGGCATCTGGTCTTATTAGTAAGATAAAGGCACCATAAATTCGCGTGTCGCCAAGGAGCCCTCCCCCACTTTTACGTGTAGGAAGCTATTAGATGCGATGCTACTGATTGGGTCCAGAATTTTCGATACGTGCTCCGTATGCGATTTGGTAAATAAGACAATGTGTGTATAAGCAAGGTCCATTATCATCATCGTATTCAAGTTTGACAGCCAAATAACTCAGTTGCCATTATATGTACCTAATGCAAATCTCATTAGTCGACATTGTGGATGTGTGACGTTGGACGACTACAACCCTTCTAGATCATAGCCATGGTAAATACGTGTTACGTGCGTGTCGAATTTTAATCAAGACAGATAGACGGGGTTGACAACCGATGCAAGCAGTACGTAATAATGCCAGAGCATCATCGTCGTTGGGGGCACATATGATACAGAATGTAATGGTACGTATCACGCGTTTACGATATCGCAAGCATACGCTTGCGATATTTGTATAGTGGAGCTGCCAGATACATTGCGTGATGCAGGTTAAAAAAGCGGTACCTCTAAGTCAATATAGACTACTTGTTGTCAATACAAATCATGGCTAGCGTCCCCTCCTTCTCTTTTTGGATACAACTTGGTGTCAGCATTTCGACAACGTACAAAGTAGGTACAATGCTATCTATCTGCTTCTATACGTTGTGGCTATCCCCATCGCAGCTATAACTTAACAAGGCATTGATCACCCAAATATGTGCTATGCAAATTCTTGCGATGACCTTTTCCCGTGATATTATTGACAGAATTCTACTTGTTTGATGAACGCCTGTTCTACGCGTTCCCAATACAAGAAGTATAATTTAGACAACAACAAAACATATTTATCAATTTCATCGCTATATCTTTTCCGCTGAGCGAGTGATCACTCTTGTGCATAAATCAGTAATAATACACGGCCATTCTGAGCGTCGCTCTGTGGTGTCGTTACTGTCGCATCGTGATATGCTAAAAAGACATTGAGGTTTACTTAGTTAAAATTCCCAAAAGTAATGGAGAAGAGCAGGAGAGCTCGTTGCTATCTTTGCGATAAGCTAGCAACAAGTGCAAGCAGTGCACTGCCCAAGTTTTTATTGAAATTTTCGTGACGATTGCAATCATCTACGTACCGGCGGTAAAGAGTAAAATGTGGTCGCATTTGTAGGCACATGATACTCTCTCCTTTGTTACGTTACCTTGCGTCGATGCGATTGTCTAAAAATCGAATTTGGCACAGAAGTGATAAGCACAAGAGCAGAGTAGAGCGATAAAAAGTTTGCGTGAACGCCCATGTGCATGGTAGGAGACATTGCTACTGCTGTACACATTAGATCGATGAGGTCATAATTGCACGCATGTCATTATCTTCAACGACATCAGCGTAATACTCGACAACTTCACTACTCGCCCAGGCGCGACATTCACACATTCGCGCCCCATAATACGTTTTTTTAGTATGGCGGATATCAGACTCCACAATGCATCAGTTGCACGGAACAGTCGCTGGATTCACTTGTTCGGTTGCGTTTCCAATGTAACCGTGCTTCTACCCCAGAGTCGCAGCATGTTGCACCTTCCGTCCAGTAAAATCTCATACACAGTCGTCATCGTACAATAAGAGGTCTGACACATGCAGATCATGGCTACGCCCACCGTAATCTTGGTCAGCATGTTGGGCCAACCGCCAAAGTGACCTATTTCGTTAATCGTGCGATCGTCCTCTGTCGGATATTACCCAGGCGTAGCTCGTCACGCTGAGGTAGTGCATCGTCATGCTGGTAGGGGTGAGGTCCATTACGCTTGTAATATCGATTGCTGTGTTCCCTTGCACGGCGTTTTACTACAGCAAACAGATAAACAAACATTAATCGATCAATTGGCTTTAACCAGTTGCATGCATTGCATCTTTGCAGCGATCCACATGTTCGTATAGTTGAGTGCTTTACCCGTGCTACGACCCTGCTGACCGACACAAGACCCTTCAATGTCTAGCCGTCTCCTACACAATGCAAGTGTTTGCCTATGTTTTCACTTTCTTCAAGGCCATAAAGACTTCAACTTTTCGCTGACAAGCAGATTCAACGATCGTGAACACACGTGTCAATTTACTTCCGGGAATCACGCGACCTACTACATTGACTTCTCAATAACAAATGCTAGAGTACAACAGATATTTCGGGACGGAACCATGGTAGAAACAGTTAATGCAGTAACGCGAAAGATTCTTACGAGTGAAAATAAAAGCGCGAATGATGCGACTCAGAAACCGAACGATGTTTAGCCATATCCTCTGACGCCTAAACTCTTTGCTGTCCTAAATAGGCCTTTTCGTCAGCTTCTCTAGTACCAACTTTGCTATCTTTTTTGTGTAGTAAGCATTATAATCTTTGACCAATTTAGCAACTCCATTTTTCACTTGGGCATCACTGAAGGTAGTTGCTAACTCGAGCAGCTCCCTAAACACCTTGGGTTCGTTCCGATAATGCGCAGCAGCAACACCAGATAGGAATTCTTTGTCGCGTGCCTTCATCGTGCCGGGAATCATGCCTCCGGAAATGACATTTCTTATTGCTGAGTCAAACTTGTCGCCATGCCCCTCTAGACCCAAGCTCAGCAGCGCCGACTGTGCACTCAGAACATCGTTCTCAAATTTCGCCTTGCTTGCTGCCATTCGTGCTGTTGCTATCTGTTGGGCTTTCGCCCGTTTTGCTGCAGCGTGTTGAGCTGAACCCGGTATGAATGTCTTCAATTTCGTGGCGAAAGACTCCGACGCCTGAGAGAAGCCAGCCGAATTCAGCGCCCGCAGTGTTCGGGACTCTTTGCGAGCATCGGCACCAGCAGAGCGAAAGGACGAGACCTCCGTCGAAGTGGAGATCGGGACCACGTCACTGGAATTTAGAAGCAGGAAAACCGCGATCACGAGCAGATTGACAGACCGGTGCATGGTAGCGGAAGTGGCTATGGACTAGACGTGGGGCCCAAAAAGTAAAATGGAGAGTGAGAGTAGGAAGAAGCAAGTATTCAGCATCCAGGAGGGTTCGGGGTTGTCTACCAGATGTGGGCGGTTGTATCAACGTAAATTTGCTGACGTCTCGACTGTCGCGGCTCTTTACGTGGCGTACCATTGTAGTCCCTTTTCTTCAATATAGGACATCTCGGTCGATATGCTTGAAATATTCACATGGCGATGCAGCGAAACGAGGTAGCGACCTTATCATCAGAGATTTGCATGCTTTCGCGACAAAGTGTCAACACTCGCGACATTTTTCCGAGCGGTTATGACGGCTGTTGAGCTGCAGCTTCTCCTTTGTAGACGGACATCCAGATGGCTTCGGTAGTTGCTTGAGCGGTCCACTACAACCGTCCGCGGACGCATGGTAATTATTAGCTTAATTGAATGTAGTTTACCGTTGCGTTAGCATCCATTTGAGTGCTGTGCAACGAGTGTGTACGTTTCATGACATTTTATATTAAGTAATACAAAGGGTGAATATTATCAGCAAGAAATTAAATTCTTGCAATATTATATTAGCGGATAATATTGTACTGCAAAATTAACCTTTTTAGGTGCTGTGCGACGAGTGTGTCTGTGTAGGCCATAATATCAATTAAAAAATGCCGATACACGACAAGTGTTTGCAACAAGTGGCGATCAGATACTTACATCACATGTTTGTGTTCAGACATTGTCAGCATAATACTAAAGAGAAATGTGTTAGAAGAAGATTAGCTACTGTAACATAGGGAATACTGTAAATACTAGCAATCCATTTTCGGAAATACTGTACTTACGGACGCGTGACAGACGTGCTTCGGCTCGCCACCGCGGGCCTTCTCGATTGCTTCCCGAATACAAAGTAAAATCTCTCAGTGTAGCGGCCTCTGCAGCTGCCACACGTTTCTTTACGCATCGAGCATTTCAAAAGTTCTCCACGCATTGGATATAATGCAGCACCATCTAGCAGACTTTACCAGCGTACAACGAGTACCCGGCTAAGTACGGAATATTAAATTTAATAAATATCTCGATCGCCGCTACCTTCTTGTTCCGTCGCCTGCAATTTCGCCCGATTATACTCTAATTATAAATAAACGTACGCTTATGAAAATCACTTGTTCGCTGCTATACAAAAACGTATGCATTTACTAAGATTATTTACATTTACTAATTTTATCGTGGTTTTCTATTGCTTCTTTTTAAGATCAGCGTTAAAGCCATTAAGGGATGCTTAATCAGGGGGAAAAGAAAGTATATGGAATATTTGAGCGCGAGTTTATGGCAAAAACAGCACATGCTCGAGCACAGCCACCAAGCTATAAGAAGCGCGAGGTCGCCATCGTGGTCAAATTAGTTGCGCTTCGTGATAAGGAAGCGATGAGTATACGGTCAACTACAAAGTAAAAAAGGGAAGAAAAAAAACACGCCACTTCGTCCAAGCTCTCTACATACGCTTTTCGATATCAAGGTGAGCAGTAGTTAGTATTAATGCATTTTATGGAATAACACATATTCCTGTAATATATCCGTTATGTATAAAAAGGTAAACTGTTCGCAACAGGAATACACGCATAAACTGTACGTAGCACTGTCTTCCTTGTTGACTTCCGAAAAGAGTCGATGACGGTAACAATTTTTTTTGATCATCGACGTGGTATAAAATAACAATGGGTAACGCGTGTAGCAACAATGGCCTATGAACATCCCGTAGAGTATTAAATAGACAAAAATCTCTGTACTATAGCTCCTATATCGTTTTTGCCAAAATCACGTTGCCAAAATGTGTAATTCTCTATCACATTATGAAGTTGGAGTAAAAAAAACGGTTGCTCTAGGTACTTGGTACTAACAAGTGAATAAGTGACAGGTACTTGCAAATCTTATTAGATAAAATCCATGTTAGAATCTCGTAGTGTGGAGAAGTGCGATAGATTTTATTACATAAACTTAAGCAAATACGGAAGTATACATCAGAGCCTCTTCTAAACATAACCCATTTCGATTTAGTTGTAGTTCTTACCAGGATGTTACGTCACATCTTGATTCTCCTGCTGGATTGTTATAAGCTTTAAATTGCTGTAGCTCGTGTAATTTAGTCGTCAATGGAAAACCTATTGTTTAGGTGATTTAAAGTGCTTTATAAATAACCTGCTGATATATCATATATCGACTGTAAGTATTAAGCCGGATAAAATAGCCGGATTGATTGCTACACGAATAAGTATCACACCTGTGTGGCTAAGTGGTAATTAAAACTTTCTTGTGGGCCCAACTCTCCACTGGCGCCCATACGACCGACTAATAGAGGGAAACTTCGATTTCGTATGCTTTGCTTTCCTCATATTGTGTACGTATGTATAGAGCGGATTGCACTCTTTCAAGTGATATCAGGTTGATGCCGAACTTGACCGTGATTGATTGTGGTATTGGTCGCGTGAAATTGTCGCACGACCGCGTTGGTTTTTTTTGCTTGGCCTATGTATGAATCGCCCTAATTGTTATGGGTCCCCTTTGTTCAGGGCGCTACGAAACTATACGTACACTAGTACGTGCAGAGGAAGCTGATCTACTCAAATCACTAGTTTGGGTAAAGGGTAAAAAGAGAACTCCATTGACTATAGTTAAGATATCAATGCAGCTTCAGTTTTTTCTTTATCATATTAATCTACATTTTCGTATGATGACAACCTGCTCGCCACCCATTACGCGCGTCTAGCAGCAATAGGTGATAATCTTGGTTGATTTGTCTTTTGTCAACCAATCTTTGAGCAGCGCATGTATATTATTCCAAATGGACAAAATTTATTTAATATTACCTATCTCGGGTAATATTGCCGGGAGATTGTCACACTCGACAATCTTCTGTAGACACTGTTTGGTGTCAATATCATGTAACGAGCTTCCCCGTTAAATCATCCCCTAACCATCAATTTTACGTTGACTGAACTAAATTGGTCGGGGACAGGCAATCCCCTTGGATCCCTCTAGGAAAGCGGAGTTCTTGTTTATTAAATTAAAACTCACTTGCTAATTTATCGCATGTTGTCGAAGACCATGCGGTGCGCTGCTAAAGCATCCAGGAAGGCGGTTGCACCCATGCGTTTAGCCGAAGAAACTTCTTCTCTTGCTTCAGCAGCAGGTTATCCTTCGCCTGCTGTTGCGATTTAGCAAAAGCGAGTGCCTGTTGTGAATCGTTGTCGCGGTGAGTCACCACAAGCGAAAAATGTTTCCGCTGCGTCTGCAGTGGGCACTGCAACTCGTAATGCAAATGAACCTGAAATAGAGCTTGTCTACTCTGGCGAGTCGGATCATGCATTTAACTAGAAGGCGGCGCCTCCCGCCTCCGTATCACCAGGCAGACACTGCATGGGCCAGGTTGACCAGACCTTGGGACTATGGGGCTATCAAGTCCGAGATCTTCGGACCGAGTATTTTGTTTGACGAATCCTCACCTCACGCAAGTCCTTCTGACAATAGGACGCGTGGTGATGGTGGAGATGCCCCTACGCATCACCACGAGAGAAGCAACACGAGGGATCGAGCTGCTAATGGTGTCAGTGCTTATGATGAAACCATGCAAGAGGACATGGACCGCAATGTCCTGCGTCAAGCTCCTCAGGTGGAGTCTCCTTGGATGCCGTCATCTGAGGTGTTAGATCGATGGGCCGGTATGACCACCGAACGGGATCGAATCCTGTTTTTCGACTGCTTAAGGATCTGTCCTCCTAATTCCAGCACGGAAACAATCCGTGCTGAGGAAGAGTTCTTCACCGATGTGTTTTCAAACATTAGTGGTACAATGGCAACCGTGGTCGAGAAGGTAAGGCCTTACTGCAAGGGTGGAATGCCCTCATCCATAACATCGAGTGTATTGGCCGTGATGCCTGACTCGGTAAATTTGATGCAGCTCGCATCAGGGTTTAGAAGCATAACCCAGTCGGTGTACGGTACAAGTTGCACCGACTATCAAGAGAGGCAGTATTACCCTATCTCTCATGAGGTGATTCGTGTACAAGTTGCCTGGACAATGCGAACGGTGCCCGTGGCAAAGTCTCCCTCCCTAATGTTCCCTGTAGGGCGCGCCTCTCTTCTGAGATGGCCGAAAGAATTGGCACTTTGCAATCCGTGTACTCGCGTTAGGAGAAAGCTTTTTCCGACGGCCCTTTTTTCGAACGCAGTGGGTGGGTCTCGTCATATTGCTCGACGAGAACCAGAAAATCAACGATCAGTTGGACAAAAGGCTCCCAGCTGTCCCAGGCCGGTGGATAGCCACGCCAGCGGATGAGGTAACTCGTCCGGGCGCTCTTCACATCGCGGTGGTTTAAAATACGCTCCATTAGAAATTGTTGACCATCGCCAGAATCCACCAAAGGATGTGATGGTCACGGGAACACCTAATCCGACTCGAGGGTCGGATCATCTTGATGTTCAGGAGCTGAACCGTGTAACGAAACAGTTGCACGGTGACCTGACTCATGAACGGACTCGTCTTTACGAGCTCCATTGCCTTGTAAAGGATAATTACAATTTCTTAGAGCACGATCGTTCGGACTGTCGTGCCGCATTTGCATTCGCGCACTTAAGAACGAACGCTCAATTCGATCCCTTCGTGACGAGCTGACTGCAGCTCGTCGAGACATCGCCCAACTTAGTGAACAAGTCGCTTCGCTAGTCGACCAGACTGGCTCGTTGAAACGGGACCACTCGAAGATGGTCTCGGCTCTCGACCGAGGAGGTGCTCTTCGCATCTCGAAACGGACTCGCTATTGTATTACGGGGCGGAGACGTCCAACGTATAAAGTAGGATGCGTACGCATCTTACGGGGCAGTTATATTGTGTATGCGTTGCCCATTCGACGCAACACACGAAATGGACCGATGTACCTGGGCAGTAATTTACTGCTGCCCTCGTTCGTCACTGCGTGTTTTGGTAGATTTACTGTAGACAGTATAATTTAACCTCCTTCATCAAATGAAAGAACATTTGCTCTTCCATATTTGTCTGCATTTCTTTTCTGCTTGTCTATTGCGTCTGCAATAGAGTCTTGAATAAAGCGGACAACCGCTTCACGAGTCAGCATTAATTCCTCTGCTTATCCATTCTTGTTAACAGCAGTGCGCTTCGTGTGCACTGCTGAAAGAACGTAGTCTTCACCAGTGAGGGCGTCATCGTCATCACTGTGGCAGTCATTGGCGATGCTGAATTTACCAGCATCGTCGTCACATCATCATCATCAATGTCGATCGCATCGAAATCGGCATCCTCACGTCGACACCATTGCCGACGGGTGATGAGCAAGAACCAGATCGGGTTTCGTTCGAGCGAGTCCATCCCCCCTTAATCTAGAGTCACACTCTAAGAAGACGAGTAAACGTGGATGGCGTAGGCCAGTCCCGAACAACGGAGTATGTGTTGTTGACGCATGCACCGAGAAATTGATGGCAAATTCCGCCATCGGCAAGAGCTCACCCCAACACGCAAATGAGTGGAAGTACCCTCGAAGTATCTCTTCGGGAACGCGGTTGACGATTTCCGTCTGACCATCTGTTTCTGGATGGTCAGAAATCGACATTTTCAAACGTGTTTCAAGTAAACGGAACACGGATTGCCAGAACTCCGCTCTGAAGCGTGGGCCCCTTTCAGACACGAGTATACGGGGTAACCCGTCAAGTCGGGACGTAGTATCGATGAAGACACGAGCACAGCCCTTGGCTGTGATGGACTCCGGTACAGCAACAAGACGCACCATATTGCTGAACCGATCAACAAACACAAGAATAACAGTATTCTCGTGAACGTCTTTGGGAAACCCAAAGACGAAGTCCATTGATACGGACTGCCAACACTCTGCTGAAATCGGTAGAGGCTGCAAGGGTGCACGGGATGGAGGACTAGGCTTCACCCGTTGAAAAACTTCGTAAGCGCGAATGCATTTGCGCACAAACTCATACTGGAGAGACCAGTAGAAGGCGCGACTCTCCGTGAGGTACGCCTTTTTTCTACCGCGATGCCCACTAGTCAGGGCATCGTGACACTCATACATGATGCGCAATCGCAAATCAGCATGAGCCGGAACGACGACACGAAGTGTGTCGCCGTAGACTGCTGTATAGTATAGAAGTCCATCACGATCCGAATACCGTTCAGTTGAAGAGCGATAGTAGACGTTAAGCTTTTAAAATCTTGACTGCACGGATTGGATACGCAATCCATCGATCGCAGAAGAGACTCATCTTTTGCGTATGCTTTCCGCACACCGTCGAGTAGAATATATGGCGGAACACTCACGGGTAGTATCACAACAGTGGGATCACCTCTACTGTTGGGTTGAGTAGTCGGCTCGAAATTGGGCCGACGCGAAAGAGCATCAGAGACGACATTAAGTCGTCCTGGTTTGTACTCGACGGAGAAGTTGTATTCCGCGAAGGAAGAAAGCCACATCGCCATTCGTTGCGAGAGTTGTGGACTGTTTACGGCCGTGCGTAACGACGCATGGTCGGTATAATGATGAAGGGCCTATCTCCTAAGAGATATACCCGAAACTTAGCCAGTGCATATTTCATGGCAAGGAGTTCATTGGCATGCACCGGGTAATTACGCTCAACTGCTTGCAGCTGAAGATATTGATAACAGACGACGCGCTCAACGCCGTCTGAGTCGTACTGCATTAAAGCGCAGCCGATTGCAAAATCGTTGGCGTCACAAACCTCATGGAATGGTCTGTCCTGGTCGGCATTCGCCAAGAATGGCGATTGAATCAAATTATGCTTGATACTCTTAAAGAAACGCTGACAGTCAGCGTTCCACGACCACTTCATATTTTTGATGAGTAATCGAGAAAGATGAACTGACATCTCAGCGTAGTTGCGCGGGTACTTGTGCAAGTACGCCGCTAAACCAAGGAACTTTCAAAGTCCCTTGACGTCGACTGGCACAGGCCAGTCGCTAATCGCCTTGATCTTATCCGGATCAAGGCGCACGCTGTTTATACCCACGCTGCAGCCAAGAAGTGGTATTTTGCTCGCTGCAAATATGCACTTCTCGGGGTTCGCGAACATCTTATGCTCTCGCATAAGTGTAAGAACCTTCCGGACTTGGATTCAATGAACCTCCACGTCCGTCTTTCCATCCATAGCCCGGCTATGGACGAAGACATCGTCAAAGTAACTTTGTGCAAAATCTCGCACCGATCGCAACATATTCGTAAAACATCTGTTGAACGTTGCAGGGGTGTTACTTAGCCCCTGTGGCATCACTAGCCACTCCCAGAGCATACCACTGGGGGTGATCACTGCTGTGTACGGAATGTCCCGTTCACGCATGAGGATCTGATAGAATCCATCCATCAGATCCATGGACGAAAAAGATGGAACTTTTGCCATACCATTCATGATGACGTCCTTCCTCGGTATCGGCGTTTAAGCCAGTACCGTTGCAGCGTTTAATTTGTTGAGCGCGTACACTATCCGCCACCCTCCTGTGGCCTTTCGCACACAGAAGGTCGGAGAGCTGTGTGGGGATGTTGGCTCCCTCATATGACCAGCCGCTAAGATATCGGCAAAGAATTTGTCGATCGCTGTGACCTGTTCACGAGGCAGTGTGGCCACTGCTTCATGACACAGTATGTCGAACCGGTTTTCATTTCGATCTCATGCCGAGCGCCTTTGTCCTTCGGCAAACCGCACAACACGGATTCAGGGAGAATATCCCTGAATTCGGTCAAATCCTTATACAAAGTATTTTTCTTTAAAAACTACCAAGATTGAGACGTGTATCGCTCAGCCCGGGTCTTCTCATTGAGGACACTCTCGTCCATTGATGAGCTACTGAGAACCCGTTCGTTCTTAGCAAACACTTTTGCCGACCGAATATCGGCGACGTACTCGTCCTCTGGGATGAGTACGCAGATCTTCTTGATCTTGTCACTACGCAGATCTCACAAGAATCTATTAATATCTAGTGTTGGCAGATTGGTTACCTCCGAAGCTGACTTCGGGGGTGTAACCAGATCAAATGTATGAGTGCATACTCTTGATCCGTCATTCACCAAGACATTCACTGTCTCGGTGATTTTATGGGAAGACCCATCCGCAGGTGGTTGGAGATCAACAAAAGCCTCTCGGGAGTTATTAGTATCAGGAACGCTGGACTGTCTTCCAATACGTGTTCTGACTGTGGGTTTTCTACCACAGTAACGTCCTCTTCGATCGAATCTCTTTTAGTCTATCGGGCTTGCTATACAATCGACTCTCTGATGGTCGATCTCGCCTCAACGTGCTGTTCATCCTGAACAACACTAATCTATCTCCTTGTATGCACCCTTCTCGGTGTGCACCCGTGTTCCGGTCCACTCGATCTCTTGAGTGGTGAACCTTTGGTGCAGCCTGTGTCTTTATACAGATTCCAAAAGCTGGTTACACAGTAAATCGGCCTTCTACACTGTGATCTTGTGCAGTCATACTAACGATCGTACAACAAGTGAGGTCATCGCACTCGCTCGTAGTACATACACACGCTTGTGAACGCTCCAAGTCGTTCATCATATGGCCATCTGATGAACAAGCGGCAGGCATCTTCGCGGATCGATGCTGCCAGCTGATCCGTAGCTCGTATTTTTTCCTCAGCCACGGCAGACCGAGGATGACATCAAGTTTTCATTAAAATTTAATACGATGAAGTCATCATCTTACTGCTTTCCTTCTAGCGTGTAGTGGATTCCCACTACACGTTTGTTCACGGTTACGGATGCGCCTGTAGCAAGACACACCGTCATCCTCGTTGGAGGGATATCTCCCTAAAATGGTTCAGCCTACTATCCTCTAGCGACTGGCGTCGACTAAAACTGTTCGACGCCCCACATTCAACTAGGGCGCGAAGTGACATTCTACTTGTCACTTCGATCTTCAAAGTGATGAGGGACACCTCATCACTAGGAACAGTAACGCACAACGACTGTGTGTTAGGAGAAATCTTCGTCAATATTCCTGCAAATTCTCTTGACGTTGCTGGGTCAACAGGGTGCTCCGCCCCTACTGACCCTGACCGTTTGTTTTGGCGGTCCGACTTGCTGTCGCAGTTTAGCACCATGGTCGGACCCACGCTTTGGGCCTTTCTCCGGCCATCGGCGATCATCACGTCCTGCCTTCGGACGTGATGCGGTGCTTCGTTAACTACATTTAAAATCAGAGTGTTCGATATACTTACAGCAATGGAACCTTGCTGATTGCTTGTGGATCGGAGAGCGATCTTTCTCACTCCCAATATAACAGAGGTCCATGGGCTCGGGACCTCCGGGTTTATGTCGTCTATTCGCACGATAATTAATGGGTTATTCTGAGACTATCTCAGGCCAAATTCTTCTTGATCAACATACGCTATCGACTTTTCAGCGTATGGAAGTCCCCTCGAAACATGTATGATCTTACCGGCCCATCCACAAGGCCGTAGGTGAACACGTTGATGAGCTTGTGTTCATCAACAGGGTTTTTCGTGACGCTAAACGCAATGTAGCGTAGTTGTTGTGCGTAAGCGTTCACGTCACGCTTACCTTGCTTGAGCCTCAGGAGTGCAGAGCATGCTCAAAACTCGCTCGTGGCGGCTCAGATGTTTTTTTAGCCGAGACTTCAATATCTCTAACGACTCAAGCACGTTTGGATCGTGGAGCTTAAGTCCCAAATGTTAAGCCTTTACTCGTCGTTTCAAATTTGACAGGGCTCGATGTGACGGGCCCTGATGGCGTCATCTAACTCGACGAACCATCTCAAAAGAGATTCTTCATCAATTTTCTTGTACCATAAGATATCTATCTTCAACGTTTCGGGCGACGCGTGTGCGTCGGCCCGCCCATCGACTGATGAGAGCCTTGCTATTGTAGCAAGGCTATCTTCTGTCTTTCGACGGCAAGTTCCCCTTGTAAAAATTTGTTGATAGCAGCGTGTTGCTGGTCTCTGCTTTAAGACTCCAACATACCACTGATGGTGGGCTCGCTCATGAGCACACTTATAAGGCCGACTACCTCCCATTCTGAGTCATTTAGATAAAAGAAGCCTTCACGTGTGACGTGAAAGCTGTCGTCTTCTACATCCAGCATATTCATGTTGAACGGACACTAAGTAGTCGTTGAAAGGACTACAAAGTTCTACCAGGTGTAACGGTGCACCCTTTGTTTAGGGTGCCGCGTAACTTCACGTGCACTAGTACGTGCAGAGGAAGCTAAACTACTTGAACTACTTGGTCAAGTAAAGGTAAAAAGAGAACTGTATTTAATATAGTTAAGCTATCAATATAACTTCATTCTTTATCTAACTATTTTAATCTACGTTGTAGTATGACGAAAACCTGCTCACCACCCATTGTGCGCGTCTAGCAGCGACTGGTGGTAATCTGGTTAGTATGTCTTTTATCAACCAAACTTTAAGAAGCGCATGAATATAATTGTACAAGAGATTAAAAATTTTCTTATTATTAACAGCCTCGGGTAAAATAAACAGGAGACTGTACTGCTGGACAGTCTTCCTATTGACACCATTTGGTGTCAATATCATGTAACGGGCCACACAGTTACACTGATCTTTTACATAAAGCCTTGCTCTTCGATAGTAGTGATCCCGTGAGCCTTCGGAACGCTTGAGCCATTTCGCAATCTTGCTGCGTCCAATCACAGTTCATTTGGTGTCTTGAGACTTCTTGAACGCACTTTGTCAAACAAGCAAGGCGTGACACATGAGTAGACGTCTAGCGCGGTTCTTTAGTCGTTAGGTGACCAAAGATACTTCCGGAAAGAGATAACATGTGTTTTTATAAGTAAATCGTACTTTGTATCATGATAACCAATCAAACCAAAAACCATTAGCGTGTCTCTCCATTCTTACAAACCGGGTGCTGCGCCTCACCTTTTCAGGAAGATCTGCCACTCGTATCTATATGATCTGCACAAGGTGTATCAGCAGTTGGGTCTTCATAGGGCTTTTCTCAAATGTCAAAACAGCGGGAATATCATGCAGTCCACCTCAGCTGTTAAGATTATTCGATCATGAATCACGATCGCAAATTAGTAGTGGAGATCCCAAATCAAGATCGTGAAACCTTTTCTACCAGCATCACGAAAAATTGCGTCATCTATTTGTTTAATCCTTTATCTGGTCTTGTATCGCATAGCGGTAATCCTGATCTATTAAAGTTTGGTGCGCTATTTCGATCCCCCCGTTACAGCTTGTGTCTGCTTATCATAAGCATTTAAGCAAAACAAAAGGAGTTAATTTATGTAGTCCCAATTCCAACTCAGCCAAAAATTCCTTGAGACCTCTTTGCCACACTTGCATAAGCATCCACAACTGAAGCATCTATACACATTTTAACTTAGCACTTATGCGTAGCATTAAAAAGAAGCAATTGCAATTAAACTACAGAGGTGTGTCATCTCCTGTGCATTATTTTTGGTGACCACATTCGTGTTGATTTGTCCCATTATTTTATCGCACATAATTGCAACATTTAATTGTGGCATTTGTGAATCCAAGCGCTGTTTTACTTATGTGGACAGTGCGCGGTTCGAAAATTTTAGTGGTAGTACCAGTCCATTGAGTAAAAAAAATTAGTGCGGGTGCTTTTGTGTCTAGCGAAACGCAAAGAGTCTTTAGCGTCTCCAAAAGGATTGTCCATTTATAATAATAATACATATGAAACCCCTAAACAACTGCGTATAAGGTTACATCACCTCTGTAACGGGGCACCCTGAAGCTTGTACAGGTGACAGTACAAGCTGCTTATTCTGATGGCAGAAAAAGGCGGTGCCTCGGAACTTCACGTACACTCGTACGTGCAGAGGAAGACGGTAAGAAGAAGCGAGTACTTGGTTAAAGTAAAAAGTAGAACTGTATTTAGTATAGTTAATGTCTGCAATGAATCACTATGTATCTTCATCTAACTATGTCTAAATACAAATGTGTAAATCAACTATCTGCTCACCACTCATTGCGTGCGTCTGTCGTGGCGCGTCTTCGTTGGTCGATATAATGGCCTATATCAACCAATTAGGAACTACTCGTAAGTGCTACAGAATATTTGTCCTTATGACAATATTCTGAGAACATAACTCTTATAGTTATATTCTATTAACAATATCTTATAAATTGTTATGTAACGATTCACCCCGTTACAACCTCATCACAACACGAGCTACTTGCCTGCCCATCGACACACTGTATCTGCAAGTTTTTTCGAATTGCCGAGCACGAATGCGTTTATTCTTACAAAGAGCAGACTTTTGTCCGAATTGTATAATAACAGAATCTATAAAAAGCGAAAAAAATAGCTTCGCAACGCCACAGGATGTGTAAGACATGTATAGAAGAGGTGCCAAAAAATCTATGCCGACAGAGCTGTATAGTATTCCCTGCTATACGCATTAGTAAAAGCTAACACGCAGCAATTTTGCCAACTAGGATGTGGATACGAAGCTGCCTCGTTTTGTTATAGTAACGCATGTTGTTCAGGAGATGTGTGCAACATTAAAATGATGAAAATGGTAGATATTGAATGCCAGGTATAAGACGAACCATGACAATTACCCATTTCTTGAATAGTTGTTATCACATCGTCTATCCAGATCCTCTCGATAGCGTAGTGTTTCACGCGCTGCAAATGTACCAATGATTACTCCTGGGCACTCGAACGCTTGCATCCAGTCTTTAATTGTTTTGGAGTTTCCTTTAAAATGTTTGGAATTGACAGAGAGCTTTCTCTCATGTCTTTTCTTGCTACTAATTTCACACAAGCCGCATGACTGCTATGTTAGTGGCATACAAGAGAAATAGTTTGCCCAAAACAGCAGGGTGCATTATAATTATAGAATTTAATGCAGCAATGTTGATCTGGAATGTCATAATTTTTAAAAAAAATGAGAAGGTTTTTAAAAGTACTAAGAAATTATACTTGAAATATATCCACCACACTTTATAGGATACGTTTCCGCAACATGGAATCCCGAAAAGAGAAGTTTGTGGACGTATGTACGCGAAGTAATATGTCGGCACGCAAAAACAAATTTAGGTGTCAATTAATAGCTTTTTGTAAAGTTCAGGTCACCATTCATGAGATTTGCTCAATTAATCTGACTCTTGTGCGGCAGATCGACGCCAAGTACGAGCAATTGCGAATATGCGCTCATATTCGCATTATTTGAAGGGGATGGGGAAGGTCAGCGTCTCGGCCATTAAACTTAAAAAATAGATTCAGACTACATCAGCGTATGCAATGAACAATGTACGGGGCGTTGTAATTCAAATTTCTGCCTTCCCTGCTCACAATTATTTCTTCATTTCATAGTTGAGACACCACGCGTGCTTATAATAATAATGTTGATGACCATTTATAGATTAAAGTGCTTCAAATTGAGGTGTCTACGAGCGTTCTTAATGTAGACGATGCTACGGAAATTTTTTGGGTGATGTACGATGGGAAGCCACTTGCACATCAGAGACATATTCTCTCAAACGATCTCTTGAGCTAATATTATAAAATGCGAATACACCAAATATAGGGAGCTGCTAATTTTACACCCCTTTTCCTCAGATTCACACCCTTCCTTCAAAATCTTATATATAATTTACCTATTCATTTTAAGATTTATTGTCTGACAAAGGTATTACTCGATAATACCTTCGACGCGCGAGCTCGAGAAGTTCACGAAGCCGACGGGGTACATTTGCCGTACCCATCTACGTAACCTCCTTTGGGTATTGACTTTGCTGTCGTTTAGGCTATACCCGAGCTGTCCGTGGGAGCTCAAAATTGCGCGCCGTCTAATCGTCGACCGCAAGCTGGCGCCGCGCTTTCATGGCAAAGAGATGAAGGAGAAGGGATTCACTTTCGAGTGTCCAATCTGTTATATGGTGAGAGAGAGAGACGAGAGGAGACTTGGCAGTCTCCTCCCGTCTCTCTCTCCCACCATATAACAGATTGGTGGACCATCTAATGACCGTTTGGCGCTGCATGACGTTACGTTGTTTCTAGTTCTACCCCGGGGGTCTGCACATGTCGAGCTGCTGCAGGAAACCCATTTGCTCCGAGTGCTATCTTCAGATTTGGCCGCCACGCAACACGATTTCGTGCGTGACGACAGTTTGCCGTCCAGAGACTCGAGGTTGATGACTTCTGACTCACATGTCTTTGGTGTAGACTTTCTGTAGCTGTCTATTTTGCATTAATAAAGGCTTTACTGTCCTGTACACGCCACTGACACCGATAGAGCTCACCTTGACCCATTCCGTGACAGTAAGCGCAGCCCCTAATTCTCTTCTTTCACTGTGCGAATATGTGCTAACCCTAATGTTTTGCATAACATTGTAGAACGGTATGTCTCCGCGTCGAAGTAGCGCCATTGGCATCCCCAAAGCTACAGAAACAGAGTGCACTATGACGTTAAGTCTGCAGAGTGTACAGTACGCGTCAGTGGAAGACCCTGATCGGATTTGCGATTCGCTTCGCTTGCAGCTTAGCATCAGCGATAAGCCTGTGACCAACAGTTCATACCCGAATCGTGTCGCAGCGCTGAATGATGCAGCGTCCCGCATTGCGACAACACCCGCAGACGCTGCGCGGTTAGAGAAACTGATGCTCTTGGAAGCTATCCGGCAGTCGATGCAAGATACTAGCGTCGAAAATAATGACGAGGAACGAGGAAAATGGCAGAATGTTCAGCTACCTAACAATGTGAGTGGAGATGCCGGTGAAGGGCTTGACTGTAACGTCGGCTGTGCTAACGGTGTGGCGCTGAACGCATCTCAACTCAGCGTTAACGCCTGAGATGTGCTGCACTATCCCTTCAGCTTATTCACCCATCTCACTACCGCAATAATGCTACGTCCCCAGTGCAATCGTCTAACACACCAAGTTGGTATTGCGGCAGCGATCGTAGTTAGGTGTCGTAAGCCTTGGTGCAGACAGAGATGCTTCAGGTAAGGGTGGTGCCCACGGCTGTGAAAAGAAGGGTGACGTGATCGGAGTAGTAGTAATGGGTATACGAATGAAGTGCGAAAAGGGCTAGGAGGCGGACGAGTACGAAAACGGTATGCTCGTTAACTTGTTGGAAGTCGGCATGCTCAGTTTATCATAGTCATTCATAAGTTTTACGATAGCAGAGTCATCACATTGGCTTTGGCGTGTACATTTTTAGTACATCAGGCGTCTCTCTAGCTGTTGCTGTGCAAGTTCGATTTTGTAATTGACAATTGGATGAGAACACTCACGCCTGTGGTTACTGTGACCACAGGCGTGAGTAGTATCTTAGGTATTTTTTTACGTATTACTTGCCGATTAATGGCCTAGATTTTCGAGTAATACCTATGTCAGAAAACAAATCTTAAAATGAATAGGGATTTTGTATACAAGATTTTGAAGGAAGGGTGTGAATTTCAGGAAAAGGTGTGCTTTTAGCAATTCCATAAATATATAAGAGAAAATTCAAACCCAATGCCGGCCATCAGGATCGACGCAATAACTACCTAGCAGACCGAGATAGCAAATAAGGTTACAGTTTAAGACGTTAAGCTGGCGGTTGAACCGATTCGTGCTTTTGTACAAGTTACTGCGCTAACTTGCTCCTCCGCACCGCAAAACACTAGCTGATCAGCCAGAAATAAAACAAGACCCAAGAAATTACTTAAATTTTTTTTCTCAGCCTGGGCTTGAGCATGCGAAAGCATGTTAAGACAGTAAAATAATTGTTAGATATTAGAACACTATCGGCAAATGCATACGTAGTTTGGGGAGCAGCGTATGAGTGATTGTCGAATAAGTTCATTTTTGATGATTGCAGTGTATTTGGGTAAACCTATGGGTGACGGAATTAGAAGTTAGCGTTAATCGAGTGATGCCCATTAATTTTATTAGTATTTTATAATGTCTAATCCGCTATCTAGCTAATTTCATCGTCCATGTCGTCATACACATTGCTTCAGCTCACCACATCAGCTGAGCGTGACAACTGTATGGCGCCATTCTCTTGGTTGGTTTGCTGGTAATATATTCTAAGTTCCCGATATCGCCCGTATTATCAATTAGTATAGTTGTGGCTTCAAAAGCGCAGATGAAAAGAGAAAAAATGATACGGAAAACGACTGAAAGAGCGCATAACTATTTCGAAAAAGCGAGCGGCTATCACGTGAAAGCAATAAGTTTGTGGTAGTAGGATTTATTATCATTTTTGGAAGGCGATAATGAGTCTTCTGATAACGCTCATAATTTTTCACCTCAATTCATGAAAATCTTATTCGGGTAAAAACCTTAAAAGATCGATGGAAGTACCCCTTAAATAATGATGATCCTCTATTTACAATAATATAATATAACATGCCCATATCATAAAGCGACATGTAGTGTTTAGCTTTATATATTGTAAGGTGACCAGTCGATCAATGTTTATAATGTGAATAATGCGGGTGTTGTTTCGAAGTGGTGACATCTAAGTAAAATTGAACGGTGATTAGTCAACAATTATGTACACACATATTACATGTGATGTTCGACTCAGCAAAACTAGCATAAAATTTACGATCGAGAAGCTTGACATCGTCTATCTATTGCACCGCTATATGTACACAGGCGATGCAAATATCAGCGCTACTCGACGAAAGCTATTTGTGTCGTTCACTTGTTTTTTTTCAAAGCGGGCACCACATCGTAGTCGCGTATGACAATAAAAAATCTGTCAAGGGAGTGGATCTAGCTCATGCACCAACGAAGAGGCGCTGGTTTTGATTGTGTCTCTGAAAACAGTCAGTTGCCATTGCATGAGCATTGCAGATACTACTCTAACATCATCATACTTGCAATTACCCGCCTTATTTATTTTATGGTTGTAACTTATCCATACGACAGTGTCATCTCTTCAAGCGCAAGGCGGGATTCGCCCAAAGACCTAAAAGCTCTCATGTAAGTTATTTTTTGATATTGTGCCTAAAGAAGAGGCCAGAGACATGTTATATCAACTTATTTTAGTTAACTAGACGTCAAGCATAGAAGAATAACAAACGACTTGACCATCGAGCGGCCTTTCAACCCAAACTTATGAAAATGTATAGCGTAGGTTAAGTGAAAGATAAACTTACAGAAATTACTATTTTGCGCATTACATGGTCTTCTTTATATTATTTGCTTAAACGTCGCTTAGGTTTCTATCACAAATAGATACCTGCCCATTTAATTAATGAAAATGCTAAATGCACACCCCTTTCCTTAGATTCACACCCTTCCTTCAAAATCTTGTATACAAAATCCCTATTTAATTTAAAAAAATGTTTTGACAAAGGTATTACCAGATCATCTAGGCCATTAATTGGCAAGTAATACGTAAGAAATACCTAATATACTACTCACGCCTGTGGTCTAGTTTCTCCAGCGTTTACTGATAGGGCACCACGCAATAACATGCTTCCTCCTCCCGAGGTTGAGTATGCCAGTCGGGAGCAACTTATAGATACTGTGAAGACGTTCGCACGTGGCCAAGGCTATGCTGTAACGATTAAAAGTTCGATTGCAGGAAAGCGTGTCTACCTTAAATGTGATCGATGTGCCGTAAACGTACCAAAGGTTGGAAAAGAGTGCCAACGCCAGACCAGCTCACGCCAAATTGATTGCCCATTCCTTTTAAGTGGAAATTTCTCCAAAAAAGGGGTAATTGGAAGTTAAACGTGATGAATGGATGCCACAATCACGAGCCGTCACTCCACCTGTCTGGTCATTCGACTCATAGAAAGCTATATAGCGAGCAGGCCGATACAGTCAGAAATATGACATTGGCTAGTGTTAAACCGTTATAGGTTCTTTCATCCCTTCCTATAAAAAATTACGGTGCCCTAGAAAACCTCTCTACATTGTACAATGAGCGTACGAAACTTCGAAAGGACAAGCTAAATGGAAGGACACCAATACAAGCTCTTTTTGATGATTTGCAAGCAAGCAATTTTACGCACTTTCACAGAGGTGATGACGATAAAGCAATAACCTCCCTTTTTTCGCTTACAAAGAAAATATTCGGCTTGCTTGCCGATACCATCATGTCGTTCTTATGGACTGCACTTACACAACAAACAAGTACCGACTCCCCTTACTTGACATTCTTGAAATGACAATCTATAAAAGCCAATTTTCAGTTGGCTTTTGCTTTCATATAGAAGAGAAGCAAAACGATTACGTGTGGGCATTATCAAAATTTTTGCAGCCATCCTGACACCAGACACACGCCCAGCCGTGATTGTGACAGACCGTCCTTAATGATACCGACGCCAAATTCTTCGGTCACAAGTGCGCCCGACTCCATCGCGGCTTTGACCTTTTTGCCAATGTCGGTGCCAGCAGCTACAGCAGCGCGCAAAATGTCGCCCGTAGCCAAGTGGTAGAGAAAGTAATCGTCTTTGTCCAACGGCGATTGCATACCTTATATATAAAGATTTTGAAGGAAGGGTGTAAACATAAGGAAAAGGGGTGTGAACTTAGCAATTCCCAAAAATATATATGTATATATATAAAATCAATTCTAAATATTATCTGCAGACCCTTAGCCAACCTTCCTACAGAAAGTAGCTTTTAGACTTGAAATATAAGGGTCCTTATAAGCTCGACCACATCATGAGCGTGAATTGCTAGAGTATGTTTTATAGCGGTGCCATATACATTAAGTATTAAATGCGTATTTATAAACATCGTAACTTTACTTCGGACGAGCACAAAAGTGGGAGTCGAACAGATGAGGTTACTTATCAACATTATAAATGCATATTTGGTTTAGCAACTCCAGCAGGTATCAGCCAATGAAGGTTTAACAGGTAGAAACTGGCAAAGATAGACGTGAAAAACAGAATTTATCCCTTTTAGGTTTAGTAGTAGGATGGTAAGGAAAGCTGATATAATAATTTTAAAATGCTCTTACAATTGAGCATTTGGGTTTAGTAGTAGGAGGGTAAGGAAAGCTGATACAATATTTCAAATACGCTCTTACAATTGAGCAATTAATTATATATTCACGTTGCGCCTCGGCAAAATTTGTTGATTTGCACCACTAGATACCATTAGAAAACGACATTATCTTTTCACGAGCCCCGTCGCCTTCCATTTGTCGTTTTGGCCTTGTCTCTTCTTACCACTTCTCAACTTTTGTCTCATTTCAAATTAAACACGCCCTCTTTAAAATTCAATTGCTATCTCTACGGAGTCTTAAAGGTTAGTGTCGCCAAATAATGTTTTAAATTGTCCAGTGTCTTGTTTGGGCGCATCCACAAGTCCAATGAATTTGGTCAAGTGCTGAACTCTGTCTGCGCTTGTCGCTTTCGTGAGAAGTCCTGCAGCATTGCCATCTTTTTTACCTTGCCAAATTTATGTTTATTGAATTTTATAACGCAAGTCGGCTAAAATGGATTAATAGCCGGCGTCATTTTTCTTAAGTTATCGACGCCAATTCCCACTGAAATGCTTTGGTTTGTCGCATACAGTGTTTCTTTAATATGTTGCAAAGAAAACCTGTTTTACTAGCTGCATCACACATTGCAATGTACTCTGCTTGAGCCGTGCATAGTGCAACGACCCTTTGCATCCGAAAGAGACATGAAAATTCTCCACCCGCAAATTGAAACACCACATTGGTCACACTGAGTCGCGTGTCAAGATCACCTCCCCGATCGCTTTCGTTGAATCTGTCAATAACGATTTGACTGGTACTTCAACATGCGCTGATATAGTAAAACACACTTCAAAGAGCTCGATAAAAAGTAAATTACACGCTTCGCTGCTCCAATATGCTTGTTGCTCGATATATTTATGAACCGGCTGAGTACATCAAATGCAACAATATGTCTGGTTGAGTCGACGCGGCGAGTATCGTAAGTGAAACTACCTAGTCTCAATACAGAATAAAACCATCTCTTCACTTGTCATGACTTACTCGGGCACGAGTGGCGTCATACAATCCGCTACATTTTTATGTAGCGTGCACATTAGAATAAAAATCGCCTACAAATTGCACGTAAATAATACTAAAATTATTGCAAACTAAAGCGAGTTGCGCTAGAATCGATTTCATTACAAATGTACTGATACGCCCGACCGTGACTTCGAATTCTTAACTGCTTGTTTAGCACTTTAAATATGCCATTTTCTGCTTAAATTTCTTAGTAGATACCAGTAGATCGTTGATGTAAATCGATGCCAATACACCACTCCGTTCTTCCAACCTACCTATTAACACTGCTCTGTGCGTCAATGCTTCTATTTTTTCGCCTGAAGAAGGCTGTAATATTTGTGCTTCACTCCTCCCAACCAGCCTGTCTCAAATTTACAGCGCTTTCTTTACTTTAACGTCTTATAGCTCGCATCCACATGCCGTAAATATGATGGACATACTGTGGAATTTCTGAGTTTGCAATTGGTGTGCTGTATTGACATCACAGCTTAGACTGCTAATCTTAACAAAGCTGACAATGCAATGAATTGTTCCCGTTACACAACTTCTTAGAATCAATACAAAGAGATGTTCAACTAGTTAACACCACATAGGTTTACGTGCACGAGTAGGTATACACCGCACACAAGATAGTGGGTGTAGTCGTCGCATAATATATTCCTACTAAATAATAACAGTTTATTATAATCCATAGGAAACGACTATTAGTTAAGTGGATCTCGTTACTTTAAGAGCGCTCGTACTAAGAATAATCTGGGATGTATTTCAAAATGTAAAAAACAGAGTTAAATTTAGTTTTGAACGGTCACTAAGAAGTACTCCCTTACGATTCTTCGGAAGCACCTACAATGTGTGCAAGTAACGGACCTCTAGCCCCGTTACAGAAAAATGCCACAAATGACCGAAATTTTCCATGCGAGTATTCGGTGCGAATGTGTTGATAAATGAACACCTTCGCATGGCTTGCCTCCGGGAGCAACTAGCCGTTCTTTACATCTAATCAATTATACTTTCTCATCGTGCTAATTGTACACCCTACATCGTCGTCAACATGTTTGTCGAATTCGGCACTTCCTTTAAGAATTTTTTGTTTAATATCCTTTAATCTTCGAGCAATTAGCTTTGATAACTCTGCGTCGAAACACTTGCTTGCACATTCAAAACTATGTGCTTCCGCCTATATTTTTATGATCTTGAATTTCTCTTTTATAATATTTCCTCATACCGTCATTAATGTTACTCATCGTTACCTAAATAAAGCAATCATTACAACGTGACGGTTTTCACGCTGACCCTTACTTCGCGTATTCTCATGCCGCTTCCACTTGAACTTCACCCGTGCTACTTCATGATGACGACGGCTGTGCACGCTTGCCCTTCGTAAGCTCAACTTGAACCGCTAGTTCCACCAGGCTACAAACATTTTCTGTGTCAGTTTCTTTATCACTATTAGCCGAGCCTAGTTCGCCGTTAAGTGAGTCGTATGTTGGTCGGTATAGGTCAAATCACCTTGTGACATACCTCGACTTGGAAACTAATCATATACTCGTTTCGTTTATAATGCTGATTATTGGATCAGAGATTACAAATCTTTGATCCGACTTCCTTTAATTGACAAGTGTTGGTCATCACTAATTTTCCTTACATTAATTCACCGATTTTATCCATGTTGCGCTTGCAACAGTATGATTCACCAGAGTCAACCATTTCGTTTATTTTGCTGTGGACAGTGCCAGATGCGCCGCAACTTTGGACCATTATTTTTAAACACTAATTTGAACATCCGTGTCTTGTGCAGACGCTCCCGATGCTTTCAGCCTTCTCTACAATTTGTCCGCAGCTTCGGTATACTATAACTATCCACGGTTGCGGTGTCTACAACTCCTTTTCGATGCTTGCATCGAAATTCCTGTCGTTGTGTGTTAGTATTCTATTCGGGTGATGTGTCGGTCGCGGTGAAGATATTGCTCATTACCACGAATGCCACGTATAAACTTTTGCGGACGTTCATCCGGTAAGTAGAGCTTGCAATCTAACACATCTCCCGCATTTTTCAGAACACATACGATGTTACAATTGAGGTTGTAACGCCTTTCACCAGCCATAACTTGCGCATACACCAAAATTAAATAATGTCCGAAGATGATAATGTCTGACCGCATGCAAAGCATAATTTCGCATTGGTATGCTATTTCATCGTTTAAAAACTGTCCAATTTTAAATATAAATGCATTAAAAAGAGTCGGTAAAACGTATTAGACATTTATAAGTGCTGCAACATTGCGCGCGTCATCTCCATCAACGTTCTGTGCGCACGCTCGCATTATTTTTGCTGAGGACTGGCTAATTTTCCGTTTGCAATTGGCTACTGGAAATTCGATCTGATTTCCGCTAGCAATTGTTAGACTGGATACTCAAACTGACCTTCGTCAAAATTGTCGGTTGCATTGCGAATAAAGTGTCATTCAGCTTAAGCAAAGTTTTGTTTTATAGCCGCGGCCTTTGCATCTGCTGCTTATGTCTGCCGCAATAGCCTTTGTAGTAAACTTGACATTAACATCCATGATCAACAAGACTGCACCAATTTAAGCGTCACAATTTACGCTTGGCACCAACAAATTTGCATACACAAGCTAATTTGGGATCACAATGTGTCGGTCCCTCTTTTTTAGTAGTCTTCCTTACATGTTTTGCCAAATAACAAGTCTCACAATCTCGTACATTACGTCCTGATGATAATAAAAACGTCAACGGGCTTTTGGTCCACGATTAGCTTAATGTAATGAGGTCACACATGGCCAAACGCTTGTGCCATTATAGCAAATCGGCAATACCATCTCAAAACGTTATTTTATCACACGCGTTGCTGAATTCAATCTAGTCTAGTCACCTGAGACATTTTGGTCATCAAATGTCCAAAGCTCCCACTTAATCTGCTTAGGCCACATAATTCTTCTTAAAGTATTGCTAAATCGGTTCTCATTGAAATCTAGCTCTAACTTAAATTATCGCAAAGCGCACGTCCCATCGACAATAGCGGGTAACTTGCGCCAGGAGAAAGTAGCACGTACTTAATTACAGTACACACTGTATTCCCAGATACAGACGCCTCCAGTAAGAACATTCCAAGCCCGACTAACTCTCTTAAAATTGGTGTAATTTTACACACACTTGATTAGTTGCTAGAGAGCACCCGACAGCGAATAAAGTACAGCTTCTCTTCGATTACATGTGTGTTTACTACAGTGCCAATATACCCCTTCAGCGTCCTAACAGCATTGGCTTATTGTTCTTCATTATGTTGATCTTCGTTCATTTAAATCGAGAAGATCGATACGAAAAACCACACATCGATCGTCGTTAAAATTTTTTTGCACGTCACGTAGCGTAAAGCTTGTCGTCTGTTCCTCTTGTCTTCACGACAAGAGACGCCTTTTCTTGCGGTCATAATTCAAACTTCGTCATGTTTTTCACGATCA